ACCACACCCATCCACCCTCCCCCAACCCTGCCTTACTCCCACCCTAAATAGAAATATTATTATGAATACTTTCTTTTCATGTTGTGGATAGAGTACTTTCTTTTTTCATTTCAACAAAATGAGTATTTTTTTTCATGATATAAAATAATTACTTTCTTTTCATGATGTAGAAAACGTATTTTCTTTCATTTTAACAAAATGATGTACAGTAAAAAGTATCTTCTATCATTTCAACAAAAAAAGAAAGTACTTTCTTTTTATGATGTAGAAAACGTATTTTCTTTCATTTCAACAAAATGAAGTACAGTAAAAAGTATCTTCTATCATCATAAAAAAAGTACTTTCTTTTCATGATGTAGAAAACGAATTTTCTTTCATTTCAACAAAATGAAGTACAGTAAAAAGTATCTTCTATCATTTCAACAAAAAAATTACTTTCTTTTCATGATGTTGAAAAAGTATTTTCTTCCATTTAAACAAAATGATATAGTAAAAAAGTATCGTCTTTCATTTCAATAAAAAAAACACTTTATTTTTATGATGTAGAAAATGTATTTTTTTTTATTTCAACAAATGATGTAGTAAAAAGTATTTTCTTTCATTTCAATAAATAAATATTTTATCTTCATGATGTAAAAAAGTATTTTCTTTCATTTTTGAGTGAAAAAGTAAAACAACACATTAATCCCTTGTGGGTTTGAATTTTTACAGGAATAATTAAATTCTTGAAAGAAATAGTGTCATGAAAACATTTTCTAAAAAAATATTTTTCAACACTTTTATGTACCATTGAGTAAATGGCAACCTGTCACAGACATGATCATTGAGATGACAGAATGAAGTTTGTTTATATTAAGTTATTTGGTCATTATGTTAATAGCGGATGGGTACAAGGTACTACTAATACATATATACCCTGTTTATCCTCTTATGTTTGGTCCTGTTCGATCCTAGGTGATGATTGAGGGCAGGGGCGAAGCTACGAGGCAAAAGGGAGTTCTCCTCCTCCTTTTTATTCCTCATCCTCGTTTTAGAATACTAAAGTTCATTGTGCTAAACTAAATAACATTATATGATTATCATTGAGATCAATATCAAGAAGCAAATCATAAGAAATGTCACTCTATAAATACACCATTTGACCAAAAAAAAAAGAAAAAAAAGAAAAGGAAAGATACAGAAGGATACACTTAATACAAATTCTTGTGACAAATAATTATAGCATTGTATAAATTGCAACACTTTTATCAAACACCGTTTATTGACTTAAGGGAGACGGAATGTTATTACTGTTTGAACGAATATCTAAACATTACGCATACTAGTTGAGTAATAGTTATAGTTATTCGCAACACAGGCAAATTTTGCCACGAGAAAGAGTGAATACCTTAAAACCTCCCTAAACTATCACGTTTTGTTAGCTACCTACTTAAACTATCCGAAAACTCCCCTTAGCTATATACTCCTATTATTAAAAAAACCTCGTCGATTTTTTTGTGGTGAGTGTGATAGACCCTTCTATTTACTCAGCATAATCTGATATATCAATTTAATTAAAAAATTTAACTAATAATAAAAAAACAATTAAATGGGTAAATGTTTGGGGGGTTAAAAAATTAAAGGGAGAGGATGAAGGGATAAACATATGGTTATTTGTTAAAAAAAATTCTCTTCTATCTCCTCCGATAATTGCTACACCATGTCTCAATCGTGATTTTACCATTAAATTTAGATTAAACGTTGGATTTTTCCCAATAACCTTCGTTTACACCGGGAATTATAGTTTAATATACGAGATTTAGGATTAAAAAAATTAGGGTTTGGTTGGAAAAAAAAGGATCTAAATGAAGAAGAAAGGTAATTTTAGAAGAAACAAGAGAAGAAAAAAATTTCACACGAAACCCATAAGACTAAAGGAAGAAGAAAGATTAAAAAAATGAAAAAGAAGGCTAGAATACAAAGAAAATAGAGGGAAAATACAAAAAAAAAAAAAAAAATTTAAAGAGGGTGACAGTAATTAACCATTAGAAATGGTCAATTGGGGCCATTGTTATGTATAATTTTATCTCTCACGCGCCTTTTGGCGAGTTAGCTTACATATTTCATTAAAAAATCATCGAGGGGTTTTTTAATATATGGGGGATATAGTTAAGGGAGGTTTTAGGGACACCGGATAGTTTAAGTATGTAACTGATACAAACATGATAGATCAAGGGCGTTTTAGGGTATTCACTCATTGAGAAAAACTTGTAAACAATTTAACAGATAAGTATATCCCATCCGGCAAACCTTGTTAACAAAGTATTTCCATTCTTTCAGGTAGCTCCAAGACTATTTTTGCAAAACTTTCTGAAATGCGGATAAATTTAAAGAGTACTCTCAAAAGATCATATTTATGAAAATCACCAAAAATTAAAATAAATAAGAAAAGTATGAAACTTGGTTGCTTGAAGCTCTTTGTTTTCTACAGCCTCCACCTATGACCCAATTTTATGCAGTGCATTAATTTGAAATTTCTTCTTCAGTAAAGAATAGTGACAATCAACTAGTGGTTCATTGAGTCAGAAGTCATAACTTTCTATAAATAAAACAACCTCCCTTTCACTTTAGTCTAAGGACAATGCTTCTGCAAAAATAAATGTCACCCTTCTGTTTTTATGTAACTTTCCTCTCAACTCCATGTGCTCCATTGCATAAGAAACAAAATCATTCATTCTTTAAAACTTGCTCAAAATCTTTCTCTTTGCTCTCAATACAAATCCCACTACCCATGACCAAAATCTGATCTTATTTTTACGAAAAAAACTGGAATTAGTTATGAACACCATGCTGATATGTCGCTAATCCGTCACTAAATAGGATTAGGGATGAATTTTTATAGTTAGCTACAGAATTTGTCGTCGCTAATTTCTGCTTTTAGTAGTGTATAATCTTTACTTACAAATGGTCAGTTTTCTTATATTCCTCTGCCCCATCATTTGTTTCTCAATTCTTGTTTCATCTGAGGTTGATGAATTCATATATACAAGATTCAATGAGCCAAATAACAACAACATAAGCTTGAGTGGAGTTGCAGAAATAGCCCAAAATGGTTTTCTTCAGCTAACCAATGACACAAGTAGACTAATGGGTCATGCCTTTTATTCTTCACCTTTCCACTTCAAGAACTCAAGTAGTAATAGTACTGCCTTCTCTTTCTCAACATGTATTGCTTTCGCTATCGTCCCCGAGTATCCAAAACTCGGGGGCCATGGCGTAGCATTCACAATTTCTCACTCAAAAGATTTCAGTACAGCTCTTCCAAGTCAGTATTTGGGGCTGCTTAATGCAAGTGATATTGGTAACATCTCTAACCACATTTTTGCTGTTGAATTCGACACAGTACGAGATTTTGAGTTTGGAGATATTAATGATAATCATGTTGGTGTCAACATCAACAGCTTACAGTCCAATAAGTCTGCTGCAGCTGCTTACTACAATGATGAGTTACTGAAACAAGATTTAAATCTCAAAAGTGGAAAGGTTATTCTTGCTTGGGTAGAATATGATTCTGTCAAAAAATTAATTAATGTTACTCTTTCACCAACTTCTTTAAAACCCAAAATTCCTCTTTTTTCTTATCATTTAGACCTCTCTCCAATTCTCAAAGAAACTATGTATGTTGGCTTCTCTGCTTCTACTGGTTTGCTTGCCAGTTCACATTACATTTTAGGTTGGAGTTTTAAGTTAAATGGTGAAGCTAAATTTTTAGACTTGGATTCTTTGCCATCACTTCCTGGAGCCAAGAAGAAACACACTGGCCTAATTATAGTCATTTCAATTGCTGCAGCTGTTTTCGCGTTAAGCTCGATCTTGGTTGTTATTTATTTATTCTGGAGATTCAAGAATGCTGATGTGATTGAGCCTTGGGAGCTTGAGATTGGTCCTCACAGATATTCATACCAAGAACTTAAGCAAGCTACTAGAGGTTTTAAGGACAGTGAACTACTCGGACGTGGCGGATTTGGTAAAGTTTACAAGGGTATTTTAAGAAATTCAAAAACACAAATTGCTGTGAAGCGTATTTCGCATGAATCTAAACAAGGTTTGCAGGAATTTGTGTCTGAAATTGCCAGCATCGGAAGACTCCGTCATAGGAATTTGGTTCAATTATTAGGGTGGTGTAGACGTCGTGGTGATTTGTTGCTTGTGTATGATTTTATGCCTAATGGAAGCTTGGATAACTTCTTGTTTGATCAACCCAAAATGGTTTTGACATGGGAACAAAGGTTCAAGATAATCAAAGGGGTTGCTTCTGGTTTACTGTACTTACATGAAGGCTATGAACAAGTTGTGGTACATCGAGACGTTAAGGCTAGTAATGTGCTACTAGATGGTGAATTAAATGGCAAGCTTGGGGATTTTGGACTTGCAAGATTATATGAGCACGGATCAAATCCGTGCACGACTAGGGTGATGGGCACATTGGGGTACCTTGCACCAGAATTGTCAAGAACAGGACGGGCCACAACGAGTTCTGATGTGTTTGCCTTTGGTGCTTTGTTACTCGAGGTGGTCTGTGGACGTAGGCCAATTGAACCCAAGGCAGAACCCGAGGAGTTTGTACTAGTGGATTTGGTGTGGGATAAATTAAGAGAAGGGAAAGTTCATGATGTGGTGGACTATAGATTGAAAGGTGAGTTCAATGAAAATGAGGTTTTGATGGTGTTAAAATTAGGAATAATGTGCTCAAATAACCAGCCATTGGCGCGACCGAGCATAAGGCAAGTGGTAAGATACTTGGAAGGTGAAATTCTGATGCCTGAGGCTCCAACAGCACAAAATGCTGATGATGGAGAATTGGGGTTCGACGAAAATGAACGTTGGAATTCTTTAGGATCAACTAATATTATCAAGTCAAGTTCATTTACTAGTTTGTCTAATGGAGATGAAGATGATACTTTTGCTTCTTTTTCTACTTCACCACTTCCACTTCTATATAGTGGTGAAGTACCTAGATACTGATATGAACATTTCCTGATGAACACTGTACATTTTTCCCCCTTTTCTTTGTCTTTCCTCTCTGTATGTATTCAAGTCTATAAAGATTCAGTTGCATAATCTGAAGTTTTCCTCAGTTGAACAATGGATAAAGATTGATGTAATGTAACTATGAATGAATGTGGTTGTTCCAAAGCTCTCCTTTTTTCCTTTTTGTGCGTGCGCGTCTGTATCTTTTTCCTTCTATTAGAAAAAGCAACAACAAACCGAGTGAGTTCCCACAAGTGATTTCTGGGGAGGGTAAGATGTACGCAATCTTACCCCTACGCCCCTACCCTGGGAGTCGGAGAGGTTATTTCTGATAGACCCTCGGGTAAAGAAAAAAAATGATAAGCAGTAGCAACAACAAAATATTAACAAGACCAAAGCCAATATAGCAATTAAACGATAGGTAGTAATAGCAATCTTCTTTTACAAAAAGATATCTAGTGATTAATGCAATATGATCAGCACAGAGAAAGTGCTACAATAGTGGTGTTTTCTTGAGCAGAAGGCCAATACTTTTTAGTATGTCACAATAAGCATAGTGATGCCACCAGAAATGAATGGAGATAAAGTTGAATAATATTAAAATCTTAACTTAGATGATAATGCGGCCTCTTGGCAAATAATTTCAACTTAGCCCTCTTTTGGATTTTAAATTAGACACTTGATAGCATGCCTAGGTTTTATTTTAAATAGAATATTAACAGCCACTAATAGTTCAGTAGGGAAGTTGTTGAATAAATTAAAGTCTTCTAAGGACTAAAAAATCTTCCAAACAAGGGATCCAACAATGAGTTTGCGAGTTCGATATATGTTTTAGAACTCACTCTTTCAACTCAGAACCGAAAACGTCTAAATTGTGGGCGCGTAACTTATGATGTCTACTTGTCTAGCTCCATTACAATTGAAGCTCGTGGAGCTATGACAGCAGAGTAACCGGGGACCATACTTAGTTTTATGGAATTTAGCTATAATACATCCTCAACCCGAATGATATTTTTCAAAAGTAAATGTGTAGGGACAAGGGGTATGGCTTCAAATACAGTACATTTCTGGTGAGAGTTGACGAAGTCTAGCCGCAGCAATCATGATGTATGGTGACTAATGATACGCCAAGTTTTCTTCACGCTGCTACTTTTGTTTGTTGTCTTTTTCTTTGGCTCCCACTTTGCTTTCCAACTGAAAAATAGACAAGTCGTTGAAATGGAATTCGAAACTTATTCGTCCGGTTAATTCAGATTTGTACCAGGGAAATATTTTCTATAGCGTTTCTCAATTTTTTATGGTTTAAATTCGAAATCTCTAATTAATACATAAGAGTAGAAGAATCACATCCATCAATCCACATCTCGTGGTTCATTTCATCTTTAAATCATAAAAAAGCTAATACGAAAGCATTCGAAATATCATTCAAAGTTGGCAAGACCTTAAAATTTGGTAGACTTAGTCTACCTGCTTAAAAGACTTCTAACAAGAAAGTTATATCAACCAAATTTGATATAATATGCCACTGTTGAAAATGTGATCCCATTTTTAATTATAAGTTTCAATGATGAAAAATAATACATCACATTTGGTGCAGGATCACAAGGAATAAAACAAAGAATCAAGAAGCAATACCAGTCAAGATTAGATTAAGGAAACAATCTATTAACGGGAGCTCTAAAAGCAACGCAAGGAAAAAAAATAGCGATGCAAAAGGAAGAAGCAGCGGAGTTCCTGAAGAAGAATCAATCAGTGATTCTATAAATGATTGACGGAAGCTATTACTGGAAGGTCCCAAATCAAAGGGAAATGAGATCGCAAAATGATGCACTGAAGATCGTTGAAGCCAGAAATCAAGGGATCTAGCGGATATGCCTCAAGTAACGAAAAGATATGCCTAGTGGATGGAAAGCTCGTCAAAACCATAAATCAAGGAAGATCAACAGAAACTTGACTTTATTCTTGGAAAGAATCAATCTATGATCCCTTTCAAGGATCAACTCCCTTTGGTTTGCAATCTCTCAAGATTCACGTCATTCAAGAGTCAAGAAGGCCTCATGAAGTGTATATATACATATGTTCCGGACTTGAAGAGGATATACTTTGAACGAACCATTTTCACTCCTTTTGTTCTACTCCAAACAAGCATTGTAGTTCTTATAGATCTGCTGTGTAATTAGTGAGAGAAGAAAAAGAGATAAACACTGGTGAGGCATTGTATCAAGAAGAGAAAAGTGACATAGAGATCAAACTGTTGGTGTAAAGCTACATCAACCATTATGTACTCAAGAAACTTCGATCATCACTGAAAGAGAACACCCTTGCAACCCAAGGGGACTGGAGTAGGATTCACATTGAATCTGAACCAGTATAAAATTCTGGTGTCTTTATTTCTGCATTACTATTATCCTGTTCTTATTTCTAGTCTAATTGGTAAACTAGTCACCTCTTATAATACAATTTTTAAATAGGCAATTCATCCCCTCCCCCCTTGTACGTTTAATTGGTATCAGAGCTAGTCTCACACTTTTTGCTTAACAGTTTGTGAGAAAAGATCATGGCAAATCAAGTAATTGTTGGAGCACTCTTTCAAGAAGGAACATCGCAATTTAGGCCACCATATTTCAATGGACAACATTTTTCGCAATGGAAAGTGCATATGGAAATATATGCAAAATCCTATGACGTCAAAGTATGGCGCGTTATCAAAAAGGGGAACTATCCACTACCAACAACTGCTCAACCACTTGCTGATCCAGATGATATAGATGAGTACACATACGAGCAAATGGCAGTTGTTCAGGTCAATGCTAAAGCACGAAATTTACTCTATAATGCTATAAGTGAAGAGGAATATGAGAAAATCTCAAGTTATGATACAACAAAAGAAATGTGGGATAAACTGGAAGTTACTTATTAAGGAACCAGCAAAGTGAAAGAAACTCACATTAACATGTTGGTTCATGACTATGAACTCTTCTAGATAAAAGAAGGAGAATCCATTGAGAAAATGTTTGCAAGGTTCAGCAAAATCATTAGCGATCTAAAAGCTTTTGATAAACCATACTCAAGTGTCGATCAAGTTCGAAAAATTCTAAGGAAGTCTACCTACCATTTGGCAGACAAAAGTAATTGCACTCGAATCACAAGATCTAAACAAGCTTTCATATGATGAGCTTCGAGGAGATCTTATAGCATTCGAGAAAACTCACCTCAAGAAAACAAACCAGGAAGAAAAGAAGAAAACAGTCGCCTTCAAAGCTACAACTAAAAGGCTAGAATGATATTGATGACGACCCTGAAGCTGTTGAAGAAGAGATTGACATGGTGTCAAGGAACATGGATGGTTTAATGAGAAGATACAGAAACACAAGAAGAGGTAGGATGCACCCCAGGCGAACCAGACAATATAATGAACAAGATAAGAATGATGGAAAATGTTATGAGTGTGGAAGATACGGGCATGTTTAAGCTGAATGCCCAGATCTTAAAAGAAAGGTTTCTAGAGGATTCAATAAAAACAAATCTTTTTGAAGCTGGAGTGATGAAGACAGTTTGGAACACGAGGAAATAGCAAATCTATGCTTCATGACAATCCTGGAAAACGAAATGAATAAAATCTCCGGCTGTTGGACCGACGAAGATGCATCAGACGATGAAAGCAAAGATGATAATGAAAATTGTTTCATGGCACGAGGTGAAACAAGCGAGGAATACCACAGGAAGAGCCGCAAAGGAAAATGGTACTTAGGCTGCGTGTTCCAGCCACATGACAGGTGACAAAAACCTGTTCAAAGAAGTTACAACGATAAATAGAGGAAACGTTAAATTTGGCGATGACTCAAAAGGAAAGATAGTTGGCACTGGCACAATTCCATTCAATAATAATTGTGATATTACTGAAGTGTATCTTGTAGATGGACTCAACTACAATCTCCTGAGTATAAGCCAGCTATGTGATTCAGGGTACGAAGTTAAATTCAAGAAAACAGGTTGTGCCATTGAAGATGAGACAGGTAAAATAATACTCCCAGGAAAAAGGTATGAAAATGTTTATATTCTTGATGGTTTTGAAAATCTAGATATTCACATCTGCTTAGCATCTACATATGATGATCCATGGATGTGGCATAAGAAACTTGATCATGCAAGCATGCATCTTATTGAGAAACTCTCCAAGCATGATTTAGTTATTGGTCTCCCTAAACTCAAAGTTTCTAGAAATCATGTATGTGATGCATGTCAAATTGGTAAACAAAACCAGAAACTCCTTCAAAAACAAAGACATTGTGTCTACCACCAAGCCTTTACAATTGCTCCATATGGATTTGTTTGGACCCACCAGAATTGCTAGCATAGGAGGAAAACGATATGCTTTTGTTATTATTGATGACTACACACGTTTTACATGGGTGATTTTTCTATCTCACAAAGATGAAGCTTTGAAAAACTTTGAGATTTTCTATAAGAGAGTTGAAAGAGAAAAGGCGTATCTTATTACAACTATTCAAAGTGATCATGGAGGAGAATTCGAAAGCAGGGCATTTGAAGATTTCTGCAATGATCAAGGATATACTCACAACTTCTCAGCTCCAAGATCACCTAAACAGAATGGAGTAGTTGAGCGAAAAAATAGAACTCTACAAGATATGATCAGAACTATGATATTAGAATATTCCTTGCCAAATCACTTTTGGGCAGAAGCAGTAAGCACAGCCTGCCACATTCTCAACAGATGTCTTATAAGACCTATCTTGAAGAAGACTCCATATGAGCTATGGAAAGGTAAACGGTCCAACATAGGTTATCTCTATCCTTTTGGCAGCAAATATTTTATCCATAACAACGGTAAGGACAATCTTTGAAAAATTTATCCAAGAAGTGATGAAGGTGATGAAGATATCAGTCAAGAAACACCACAGTCTAGCAAACCTCAAAAGTCGACCGATAGGCTAGACGGTGCCACAGAGTCAACTAATGAGCCTGTCAAGAGTCAACCGGAATCATAGAAGGAGACAACTACTCATACGAGTGCAGCACATCCAAATGAGTGGAGAAGTGAACCAGAATATCCTCAAAAGGTTTATCATAAAAGAAACAAGTGAAGGAATGAAAACCAGGGGAGCTCTCAAGAAAAAGAAAAATACAGCACTCATCTCCCAGATTGAACCAAAGAAGGTTGAGGAAGCCCTAAAAGACTCCAGTTAGGTACAAGCAATGCAGGAAGAACTGAATCAATTTGATAAGAACCAAGTTTGGAAACTGCTGCCTAAGCCTGCAGATGCTACTGTAATTGGAACAAAATGGATTTTCAGAAATAAGCTCAATGAAGATGGAAAGGTTATGAGAAACAAAGCCAGATTAGTAGCTCAAGGCTACTCACAGTAGGAAGGAGTTGACTACGATGAAACCTTTGCAGCAGTAGCTCGACTAGAGTCTATACAGATTCTTCTTGCATACGCATCCTTCAAACGATTTAGACTTTTTCAGATGAATGTCAGAAGTGCCTTTTTAAATGGCTTTGTTGATGAGGAGGTATATATATAACAACCTCCAGGTTTTGAAGACTCAAAATTCCCTTACCATGTGTATAAGTTGACTAAAGCTTTGTATGGACTCAAACCCACGAGCTGGTACGAAAGGCTTAGTTCATTTCTACTTGATCATGGATTTATAAGAGGTAAAGTAGATACTACACTATTTAGCAAAAGATCATCAGAAGGTAATCTTATTATTCAAGTTTATGTTGATGATATTATCTTTGGTAGTGCTAACCCTCTTATGTGCAAGGAATTCGCTAGTCTTATCCAAAGTGAGTTTGAAATGAGCATGATGGGAGAGCTTATGATTTTCCTTGGACTTCAAATTCAACAATTTGAAGAAGGAACGTTTATGTGCCAGACGAAATATACAAAGGAGTTAATTCAGAAGTTTGTTATGAGCAGTGCTAAAGAAATTGGTACACCAATGAGCCCGTCAACAAGTCTTGACAAGGATGAAAAGAGAAATCCTAGTGACGAAACCAGATATCATGGAATGATAGGCTCTTTGCTTTACTTAACTGCCAGTCGGCCAGATGTTATGTTTATTGTATGTAAATGTTCCAGGTTTCAATCAGCTCCTAAGGAGTCGCATCTGACTGCAGTAAAGAGAATAATTTGTTATCTCATCGGAACTATTTCTTATGGACTATGGTATCCACGTTCTAACAAGTTTAAGTTGGAAGGTTTTTCAGATGCTGATCTTGCAGGTGATAAGGAAGACAGAAAAAGCACTAGTGGAACATGTCAATTACTGGGAAAGGCATTAATATCATGGAACAGTAAGAAACAAGGCTCATTTGCATTATCCACAACGGAGGCAGAATATATTACCATTGGACAATCCTGTGCACAATTACTATGAATATCTCATCAACTGGGTGACTATGAACTATTATTTAAACCTATTCAAATATTTTGTAATAACTTAGTGCTATATGTCTCTCTAAGAATCCTGTGCATCATTTCTAGGGCTAAGCATATAGACATCAAACATCATTTCATTAAAGATCATGTCCTCAAGGGAGATATAGAATTATCATTTATTAGCACCAATGATCAATAAGCAGAAATTTTCACTAAGCCTTTACTTGAAGATAGATTTTGCTCCCTAAGAGAACTAATTGGTATTATTTCTCTTGATCATAAAGATTAGGACCTATGTGTTAGTTTTAATTCTTGTGTGCCTAATGTTTTTAATTTTGTTGCCTCCGATTTCCCTCTCTTTTCCAATCAGTCATAGATTTCAAGAAAGGAAAATCAATCATCATGACTTTTCACTGACACCATTTCCTTTGTTGCACTCAACCGTCAAAATCCCGTCCTTTTTTAATCCTCTGAACTACTCTTCTCTGTCTTAATTGTTCCTATCGCTCAGAAAGCCTCCTAAAAAATCCTTTAAACTCTTCCTCAAAATATTTCCATGGCTAAAAACTCCAAGAATCTGTCTGCCTCCACTAGAAAAAGTACTCGTTCCAAGGGAAAACCCTCTTCTCAGCCCCCAGAACAAGTAGATCTAGGGTCTGACCACTCAGAAGGGTTTGCCTCCTCTCAGGCAGAACTATCAGACCACTCTCACCAAATAGGAGAAAAAGCCCTTGGAAAAAGGCCTATGGAAGCCCCCCATGAATCTCTTACTCCCAAGAAATCCAAATTAGACCTCTTGATTTCTCTAGAATCCGACATCAATTTCTGGGATACCCCAAATAGGGATTTCTTTGTTGCTCTGAGAGACAAACCCATTGCTCATGTCAGGGTAGTCGACCTTGACGATATGGAGGTCCTCAACTGTAAGGTAAAGGATCTGTTTGTTTCTCAAGGATGGTCTAAATTCCCCTCTATACCCCCTCCCAAAGTCTATGAACCTTTAGTGAGATGTTCCATGTCAATCTTTGCTCTAGCAAGCCTGATAAGTTGGAATCCTTGGTTTTAGGTAAACGCATTGTCCTTGATTGTGCCATGTTTGACTTAATTTTTCAATGTAAGTACTCTGATTTTCCTATGCTTTTCAAGAATACTTAGCCTGATGATTTTGAAATTTCTTTTGATCAAGAAAAATGTTGTATTGCTGAGTGTCCATCTGATTTACTTCCTAACCAGTTAGGTCCCAGTTATGTTAGTTTTGAAACCCGAGTTCTGGCCCACATTGTTGCAACTACTCTTCTTCCTCGTATTGGATCATTCTCCACCTTCTCTTAACGAGATACCTTTCTTGTCTACTGTCTTGTGACCAAACTCAAGGTTAAACTATCCTCTTGGGTCATAAATTTCATGATTGAGAGTGCTGATGATCCCACCAATTTGCCCTATGGTATGGCTATCACCCATGTTTTGGAAGCCCACAACATCTCTATCTCATAATACCATTTTGTCTCTGTTTTAAAATCCTACAACTCTAGAGCTTTCGCCAGTATGGGGTATGTGTGTGCTAAGGGTTCCTGGGTGGAGAAACAGGAAGGTGAAGTCAAGAACGTTCAGCCTGACTGCCATTGACAACAAGTTGACCATCATCAAGGACTTTCTTGCTGCAACTCAATCCACTGTTGGGGACATCCATGTGATCTCCAAGGAGACTAGGTCCGATATTTCAAAGATGAGGGTTAAAATTCTCAAACCTAGAGAAAATACAGTCAAAGCTTTCAAGGAAGTACATGACAGGATTGATGGGGTGACAGTTTCAGCCAATGCCAGCTTTGAACGTCGATTTGCACTCGCTTCTGATTCAATAGCACGGAGACTTGCGCAAAGGGTTAACAGTTGATAGGTAAGTCAAGCAGTAAAGCAGTAAATCCACTAAGAAAGGCACTAATAGCTATTCACTCACCAACAACTTATTTCTTGCGTCGTTAATTGTAGAAGTTTCAAACAATCTATTTTTGCTGTTTTGGACTGGGTAACTAGTTGCTGGGTACTTTTCTTTATTATCGCTAAACTCTGCATGCCTATAATAGTTGCCTATGATGTGTCTGCCTCTACTTGATTTGCTATAATTAGTATATATGCATATCCCCTCTTTGTTGATGTCAAAAAGGGGGAGAAAGAAGTTGTACATTGCAGGACAGACTGTTGGAAACTCTTGTTGAAGGGGAGTTGACTGAAGTATATGCAACACCTGTTGAGGAGGGAGGGGTCGACTAACTATGCAGCACCTGTTGAGGAGAGTCGACTGAAGTATATGCAGCACCTATTGAGGGGGAGTCGACTACAGGGAAATTATCTGTTGTGTTTATATATATATATATATATATATATATATATATATATATATATATATATATATATAACTTTTGTCATCATTAAAAATGGGGAGATTGATAATTATAAGTTTCAACGATGAAAAGTAATACATCACATTTGGTGCAGGATCACAAGGAATAAAATAAGGAATCAAGAAGCAATACCAGTCAAGAATAGATTAACGAAACAATCTATAACGGGAGCTCTAAAAGCAACGCAAGGAAAAGAATCAATGATTAGCGATACAAAAGGAAGAAGCAGCGGAGATCCGGAAGAAGAATCAATCTGTGATTCTATAAATGATTGACGGAAGCTATTACTGGAAGGTCCCAAATTAAAGGGAAACGAGATCGCAAAAGGATGCACTGAAGATCGTTGAAGCCAGAAATCAAGGGATCTAGCGGATATGCCTCAAGTGACCAAAAGATATGCCTAGCGAATGGAAAGCTCGTCAAGACCATAAATCAAGGAAGATCAACGGAAACTTGACTTTATTCTTGGAAAGAATCAATCTATGATTCCTTTCAAGGATCAACTCCCTTGGGTTTGAAATCTCTCAAGATTCACGTCATTTAAGAGTCAAGAAGGCCTCATGAAGTGTATATATACATATGTTCCGGACTTGAAGAGGATATACTTTGAACGAACCATTTTCACTCCTTTTGTTTTACTCCAAACAAGCATTGTAGTTCTTATAGATTTGCTGTGTAATTAGTGAGAGAAGAAAAAGAGATAAACACTGGTGAGGCATTGTATCAAGAAAAGAAAAGTGACATAGAGATCAAACTGTTGGTGTAAAGCTACATCAACCATTCTGTACTCAAGAAACTTCGATCATCACTGAAAGAGAACACCCTTGCAACCCAAGGGGACAGGAATAGAATTCACATTGAATCCGTACCAGTATACAATTCTGGTGTCTTTATTTCTTGCATTTTATTTATGCATTACTATTATCCTGTTCTTATTTCTAATAGACTAATTGATAAACTAGTCAACTATTAATAATACAATTTTTAAATAGGCAACTCACCCCTCCTATACTTTCACCCATCATATTTCAGGCGTTAAAGGGAAGTTTTTAAAAAGGGTAATCATTACTTCAAACATTGTTTAAATATGTGTGGTTAGTATAGTCTTGGACTACCTATTATATTTTCAATTGACAAACTAAGATTATAGTCAATTTCATTATTAACTAATGGCAAAAAATAAATTTCTTTATATGTGCAAAAATAGTAAAATCAATTAAAATGGACCGAATGAAGTAGCAAGTCACACAAAAAGAAATTATTAGTAGTAGTTTGAGATCCTGGACTTTAGATCTCACTACTCTCAACGTAACAAAAGAGGATAAGGAATTTACTCATCCAACAAGAGTTACACAAGACACAAGATTGCACTGCAATGATACTCGAATTCATAAAACTTGAAAGTTGCACAGACATGGATAAAAAGACTGGCTAATTATCAAGTGATGTTCACAATAGCTTTTGGGATAAATGTCATCGGTGGTGTTCGAACTATTGTTTTTATTTTATTTTTTTGCACAAAAGTATCTAAAAACATTTTGTAAATAGAAATACCTAAATTACAGTTATATATAACAAAAAGAAATACTTACTGGAATATAAATTCTTCAATATAAAATATTTACAAAATAATTTGAAAACCCTTAACTCACCCAATTAACATATTTTCAACCCACTTGCATTATAAATTTCACATGTTACCTATTTTGATTAGTGAATAATATATACACACAAGACACAACTACTTGTTTATACAATTGATTTCAAACACTTAAAGTTATTTACAATTTATTTAGCATTTGCTAATAATGACTTATTTTCAATCACTTATGTCAAACATAACTTTTTCCTAAAATTGTTTGCTATTATGTTTTTCAAAAGCTACAATCCCAAAACAAAACCAAAAATGAATAGGCTTATATTAAAAAAATTAATTGCATCCTTTTTTTTTTCCTTTTTTTGGAGAAAAGTTGAGATACCAATGGATGAACATGCTTCTACTTCCGCCTACTTTGCGACTAAGGTCGATTCTCAATTCTCAGTGCGATTGAAAAGGATAATATAAAGGCGACCACAAAATGCCTGTGAGAGTGGTGGAAACTTCTTCTACGCCTTCCCAGCCTTCAGGTAATCAACTTGCACTAAATTTCTCGCTTTTTAGATATACTATTTGATATCATCAAAAATCTTGGGAGGTGAAATTACGTACTGTATATATTTTTATATATACTCTGTTTTCTAAATCGAAGTTTCAGTTTTGATTATGGACATATAAATTGAGATTCTTAATATAGGGCCTGACTTAATCAGCGTAATGTGGGTTAATTTACAAAGTTGGCATTTTTTTCATTTTTCTTTTCTTTTTTGAAGATACTTTTGAAAGGATCTGGGCCACTCACTTACCCAGGTTGAATAGTTTAAAGATTCTTGGCATGTGTAATTTGCTTGTAATTTGAATTGGATTTCTTCAGTTTCTGATTTCAGTATATTTAATTGTCATAGTGATAAGAATGTGCCGCTGAGACTTAAAAGGTAAGTTCTACAAGGTTGTAGTTAGAGAGCACAGTGTTGGCTTGTCAAGAACTCTCATACCCAG